TTCTTAATCTGAAAATGTATACTTACCTCTGCTGACGCTCTCCCTCCCTTCCTCCCCACTAAGAGCCGGTGTTAGTGACCAGAATGTGGCAAGTCTTGAAAAAGTGATTTTATTGTCTGCATACAGTGATTACATACAGTACCTGCATAGAGGGTGTGTGAGGGCCAATGTAAAGTTTTTCAAAGTAGATATTGTCAAGTGGGGTATGTAAAGCTAACACAATGTTAGATGGCAAAGATGTAGATAGAGAAATAGCTATAAGTGTCAGCGGGGGTAAGTATGTTTGGAAATACATTTTCAGTTGTTTAGGATAAATGAGTGTAGTTTCTGTTACAATCTGCAGTCATTCTAGAAAGAAAAAGTGTAATTTAGATTTATTTTGTATTTTTATATGGTGGTAAAAGGTTGAAATCAACCAAGTCCATATATATAGTGTTAAGTTTGAGAATATAACATAAAATATAAAGTTTTACTGAAAAAAATGTTTAATATTCATTTAAGAGGCTCTAGAGGCTATGAAAATGAAATTTGGAAACTAAGATGAAGAAAATTATTTTTAATCATAACATAAAAATCACCTTGTACTCAAACAAGTCAGACCTGAGATAGACTCTGATTCCTTAAATTTAGAGACAGATCTTCAATAAAAATACTTAAAAGATCTAACTTTTTATGTTCAAAAGACAATGTTTACTAAAAGCTTGATAAATTTTGTGAAGACACATTTACTACAGTAAAAGTTAAGTCATGTATATTTTCATGATTACTGGGGAGTGTAAGGCTAATCAAAATGATCAAGCCCATGTAGATAGTGTTAAAATATTCAGTGAAGTGGTAAAAAGAAAGGAATACAGGTTATAGAATATGTTATGGAAGTAGCACAAATTACAACTTGCACGAGACATTAAGTTACAACTGTTCTTAACAAATGGCTGTGTATTAACTGAAGCTATTTAGAATAATATTAAGTCTAAGGATGTTTATCAGTGATAATAAGCCAGATGGTTTTTGCTATGAGTAAGCTTTCTTTAATGCAGATTTCAGGGTTTGAAAATCATGTAGTATTGATAGAGAAATTGTTATATGAAATACTATGACTTGTTTAAATGTGAATGATTAGCTTGGTGACTGGGTATAAGAAATGGACAACCAGTTCTATTTGACACTTCTAAATGTTCACAGCTTTTAGTTTTTAAGTGACAATTTGTTTTGACAATATACACGTCACTACACGAGTTAGAAATGTAGATGTGTTTATTTTTTTCAATTTGTCATTTTTGTGAGTCTGTATAATAAGGGAAAGTTTGGAGATGGCATGCTAACTAACAGGAGACTGGAAGTTGAAAAGAAATGTGCATGTAGTATTTGTTAGAAAGTCAGTTAGATAGCAATTATGTTAGAGGTGTTTGTGCAGATGTGTAATTTCTTTGTGTAAAATTGAGTAATTTGAGCAAGGATTAAAAATTCTGTTTAAAATTGAAATGTAGCTCCAACCAGCCCATCAGTTGCTTTAAGCATATTTCTAATGGGTGAAATTCATTCTCGCATCTAGCTATAGGGAGTAGTCCAGAAAAGGCTGAACATTTATTTCTATCTAATGGAGTTCTTTGCAATTGTTAAATGCCCCTTTTGAATAGCAGTTTTCAACATTATGTGCTCCTGTATGCACTACAAAGAGAGCGTTCCTTGGTACTAGGAAATATATACTTACTTTCTAATATTTACTTGTTTCTTATTTCTAAAACCAAATTAGCCACTTTTAGTTTTTAACATTATTGTTGATATTCAATTTTTGACTGATGTATGTACTGATAACAATGGTCACACACCCATTTTTTTTCTCTGTAGAAAACAATTCTGCACAAAATCAGTCTTTATTATGGACCGAGAATGTTGGTCGTCCCACAAAACGTTTATCCAAACCACAAGCTACTGTACAAGGTCAAAGGCCATCATTTTCAATGTCAAGTTTTGGGACCCCTGTTGTGGTAAGTAGTATTTATTTATTTTTTATTACTGATTGAAATTTTGTGGTTTGTAAAATGCTCTTATGTATACTTTTCCTGTCTGTTAGATCCTTATGTTTGCTGGTGTAGCATAGGGCTGGAAAGCTCAGAATTTGTATGTGAAGTGGATTATGGTGATATATAATAAGGCAGGTGTATTATAGTGATAAGTAATGGCTTAACCATTAAGCTGTAATGTGTATGAACAAAAAAACATAATATTGAACTTTGCTATTATAAGTTTATCCCAGATGCCATGGTGCCTTTTTTTTTTCTAGCCAACAATAGCTGCTTGCTATGGAATTCCGAGCCTGTTTTTAACTTCGTATGTAAGGAAATTCTTATTGTTTTGCAGTATCAAGTGATAAACTTAATGATGCTGAGGAATCCACATGAAGTAAATGTGTAGTAGAAATGGGTGATATGGGTATGCCATCCCTTTCATGATATCATAGCACGTAATGTGAGCAATTAGATTAGCTTATAAACTATATGTATGTCAAAACAAAGTTGAACAGACAGTGTAGAGGACGTCATTTCAAAAAACTCCTACCTTTTGTCCTCGGGTCAGTGCGTGTATGGTGTTGTCTGTTTTTATCGTATTCTGGTGAATTGTGGAAAGCGTGTTATGATTGGTTGGTTTATCCATGTTTCTGTAGATTCAACCGATGGTAGCCACAGGTTACTCGCCTCTAATCTGGTATTTCTGTTCAATGAAGGTTTTATTATGTTTGAATTGATTCTTCAATTTTTCTCGTCTTCCAAAATTTGTTGTGTCAATGATTCTAGTTTTTTCACAGTTTATTTTGTGTCCCATTGACTTGGTGTGTTCTGCACCGGATGGGTTTTGTATGGTCTTTATGTTCTTGTCATGAGTCGTCTTCTATAAGTGTAAGTATCTGTTTGTGTGAGTGGGTTTTCTGTATACAGTTGTGGTGATGAGTATGTCAAGAAATGGTAGGCTGTTTTGTTTCTCTATTTCCATGGTGAAGTCGATTCTTTTGTCTATAAATTAAGATGTTCTAAGAAATCTGGTAAGTTTTCATGATGGTGGGGCCAGATAACAAAGATGTCATCAATATAACTGTAAAAACTACCTAAAGTACACAAATTTAATATATCTTTAAGGCTTATCGTCAGTGCTATAAACTCACCTTGCCATCAACTAGCTACCTTCTTGGTACCTATCTTATCTCTGCTACGAGGGAATAATGAACATCACATTCACAACTTGACAGATTTTATAGAACAACTTGGAAAGCTACACATCAGATCCCAGTATATTTTGTTCAGTTTTGATGTCACACACCTATTTACCAATGTTCTAATCTCAGAAACCCTTCATGTCACCAGACAACTGCTGAATGACAACTCTCTACCATGCAGAACTGACATGAAGATAGATGCCAACATGGAACTAATGACTATTTGTTTACAATCAACTTATTTTCAATACAATGAGGAATTCTACAAACAAACAGATGGTCTAGTCATTGGATCACCACTCTACAATCCTAGCAGACATTTTCATGGAAGACTTTGAAGAGCCCTCTCATCCAAACATATAAAACCAAATTTATGCAGATGTTATGTTGATGACACCTTTGTTATCTGGCTCCGACACTTCTAGCCCTATCATCCAATCTCGATAAAATGTGGTATAATCCAATGCCTAAACAAGAGAGCAAAAAACATTTGCGATAAGACATCCATCAAATAAACCCCAAAATATCGTAGAGTGCTTTAAATAGAATGGTTATACCTCCTTCATCAAAACTTTCTGAAGAAGACCACAACAGAAAATTTCAATGAAAAACTCAATCACATAACCAAGAAATTCAACATAGACGTCCGGTGGAAATCTTATAAGACATTAAGATTCATTCTGGTGAAAAACTAACATAAACCTACCACTGAGAAACACAAAAATCTTATTTATGAAATTCCATGTTCCTGCAACGAAAAATACATTGGAGAAATGGAAAGAAGACTTGCAATAAGAATAAAAGAACATAAAAACAGCACAAGACTTATGAAAACAAAATTCAGCCATTGCAGAACACGTCGTGTCAACTGGACACAAAATAAATAACCTGGGGAAAAAACTAGAATTATCAACAGACAAATTTTGGAAGACTAGAAAAATTAAGTCATTTTACATTAACACAATAAAACCTTTACTAAACAGAGATTCCGTATTAGAGGTGAATAATCTGTAGTTACCATAGCTTTAATCTACAGAAACATGGATAAACCAACCAATCATAACACCCTCTCCACAATCCATCAGAAAACTATAAAGACAGACAACACCATACATGCACTAACCTGAACATGAAAGGCGGAAGACTTTTAGAACATCATCCTCTAAACTTGTGTTTCAACGACAGGAAGTTTCCATCCATTCAACTTAAACATAAACAATCAATCAAAGAATATATGTATGTAAGTAAAGAGTAAATAAAGTGGTTTGTGTAGTAAGTTATGTTTTTTTGGAAATTTAGAAAATGTAGGAACAAACCCGAGGTTTGGATTTTTTAAATAATTTCATTAGACTTTTTTTTTTATTTCCAAAAATATTTTAATGTCATATCTGTTTGAATATTACAAAAATTCTCTCTGTGATGAGACATGTAACCTGGTTAGGTTTTGCGAGCACAGTAGGTGATAGTTAAATAGGCTTATAACTCAAATAACTAGTTATCGTATTGTAGTGTTAAGTTTTTCATATTCAAGTAACAAATACAAAAAAATTATTTATTTATTGAAAAGAAACTATGTTTATTAGGTATAAATTGACCACAACAAAGAAAGTTGTTAGCAAAGATCACAATATCTAGCTTGACAAAGATAATGGAAGTGCCATTCTGAAAGATCATTGTTAAATCTTTGTCAATTTTTACCATATTTTCATGTTTTACGGCCAGAATTACTGACCACTGCAATCAGCAAAAAAAAATGTGTTAATAGGTATTGATAAGTTTAAACTGACTAGATATTTTTGTATTATGGAATTTCTTAATCAACAAAAAAATAATTAAAATCTAAGATTAAAGAAAACATTTTTAATGATTTTTTTAAAACAATGTCTCATCACAAAATTATATAAACTTCACAATCTAAAAAATGAAATGTGATTTTTTTTTAAAGGCAAAAGTCGAGATATACTATAAACTGTAATTGTTACTTATTGCTAAGTTGCTACAAACATGTCAGGTTTTGTTACAGCAAATGCAGATATCAGAAGTAGATACTATTTATTGAGAGAACAGCTTATTAAATAGTATTATCTTACTTTTCGTTAAGATTATAAGTTCTAACCAGAACTCAACTTCGTTTATGATAATGTCAATAAATGTTAATATTTCAGCATTAGGAGACCTTATTATATAAACATATTAACACTTTCTGGTTTAGAGAGTTGTCACTGATATCCTTTAATATTTTACTTCTCATGTCTGTTTTCATATATCTATATATGTCTATTTGCCACTGGAAATGGAGAGACAAAGTCAGTCTTATTTTTATGAAGAAAAATTGTGAACATATTGATATTACAGTGTTTTACTGTATAAGAATGAGTTGTACTTGCAACATTTTTAACATCTAAATATGTAGTTCAAGAAAAATTTCAAATTATTTGACACTGAAATGTTGTTTAGACTTGAGATTGGAAAGCTATGTCACAGGTCTTTCCAAGAAGTGATATGATATTCTATTATCATAGGGGTCACAAAAAAATAACTGAATAAACTGTACAATTCACTATTATTTAATCTAAACCTTCAGGTTAGTTACACAGTTAAATTGGATTTGTGTTTTTGTTTTATATTTTAGTTAGTTATGTTTTAAAATGCATATTAGAAAGGTTTAATAATTTTAAAAAATATAACCAAATACTTTGCATCAGTTCATGGGAGTGCAACAACATTTTGCTGAAGGCTAAAGTATCTACCGATGATACTGTAATGATGCCTGTTGCCATGTATTGTAATAAATAACAATGCTAAAGGATGGGAAAGGAAAATAAAACATTAAAAATAAACTGTATGTAAAAATGTAAAGACTTGCATTTAAGAAAATTACCAAAAGATCTTTTAAGATTGATGAAAAATTAAAAGGTGTGTTTTTTTTTTCTATTTCTTAATTTTAAACATTTTATTGCAATATACCTTAATGATAACTCGAGTCAGGGTGCAAATAACTACATAAAAAATAAATTGTAATTAAAATACTTAATTAAAGAAATTTTAAGAAAGCTCAGAATTATTGTAAGTATTGTTGAACTGTTTATCATTCTACATACGAGCAAGTACCAAATGAGTTAAGCCTGTAAACTAGAGAGTTGTATAAATCAGTAAGCCTTGTCTTCCACTTGCATTGAAGAGTTTTTAAATAGCATCTATTCCTGAAACCCTCAGCCAATCAGGAACAACACTTCCACCCCAAAAGTCATTATTGTGAAATAAATCATATCTTTTAGTGCTGTTAACAATAAGAATTAGAAGTAAACTAATAGGGTTGGATGTTGTCAGAAAATGTTTATTGCAATATTTGTGGCTGCAGTATATTGCACAAAGCACAAGATTTTTGCTTACCAAGGTTATTTTACTTACTGGTTGCCCACACTGTTTAGCTTAGGTTGCAATACTGTGTGTGGATTGATCCATTAAGAAAGTGCATTAAATAGGGACTATTCTTATTGATTAGAGTGCAAGGGCTTCAATTATTGTAGTGTCAATTATATTTAACAGCAATACTTTGATAGACTCGTCTCAATTTAACATTTCATCATTAGTTCTTTGTTATGTATTTCAATTGTGAGATAATTTAATTTCTAAAAAATTATAAAAAACATTGTTATTAGAAAAAGTTTGTGAAGAGTGAAATAATGATGTAATTTTAATACAGCTTTATTACTTATCTTTATTTATTGTCATTCTTTGGACATGCTTTTATCTGATTTAGATTTTCTTTCTCTTCTCTGCCTGTTTTCCAATGAACAACTGACGTTATTTTTATTTTTATAGCAAGGAACCACACAATCGACTTTAGAGACCAGTTTATATGATTCTCCCTTCTATCATGGGAAAACAACATATGGTGGTGCTTCTGCTTATCGTCGTGTTAGATTTCTATCGTCGTTTCCTTATAAGGTTGGATATAATCTATGTAGCATCATGTCTTTTATATGCAGAAATAAATGATTAGGTGTTGTTTTTTTAGATTTCCATGGTATAAGATATATGAGTGATTCAGAACCATTATGATGTAACGTACTTTCTTTTATAAAGGGTTACTTTTGGATTTTGGTGGAAATAGTTTAGAAATTTATTGTACTTGAATATCCACCAATCAGAATTTAACAAATATATGTGTCAAAAAAAATGGCACATGTTTGTTAAAGAAAACATTTCTTTTTACAGCCACCAAATTCATGTGGTCAAGTAAAAGTAAGAGAAGCCAAAGCTGCAAAAGAAGATCTCAGCTACATGAGTGCTACCTCTAAACGTATCCTTCAAACATTAGAAAAAATGTCAACACCATTATCAGTAAGTATTGTACATTGGAGAAAATATTATTTTCTCCAATATACAATACTTACTGATAATGGTGTTGGTCAACACCATTATCAGTAAGTATTGTACATTGGAGAAAATGTCAACACCATTATCAGTAAGTATTGTATATTGGAGAAAATGTCAACACCATTATCAGTAAGTATTGTATATTGGAAAAAATGTCAACACCATTATCAGTAAGTATCATACTTTGGAGAAAATGTCAACACCATTATCAGTAAGTATTGTACATTGGAGAAAATGTCAACACCATTATCAGTAAGTATTGTATATTGGAGAAAATGTCAACACCATTATCAGTAAGCATTGTATATTGGAAAAAATGTCAAC